AAGAGCACTATAAAACCCTATTTAGAGTAGCTTTCGGAGTTCGTTGAATCTTTCTTCAAGTCTGGTGTTTTTGCCAAAATTTTCATAACTTGTCCAAATATGGCGAAACTGAATACAGATATACCCTAAAGCACATACATATCAGATGGAAAAAAAAACGAGACTAAAGTAAAACTTCAGAGAAATATGGCAGTTTTGGTGAAAAATTCGCTAAAATTCGTCGAATTTTTGGCCTTCCATTAACCGCCTCTCAGCGCATTGGAAACACTACCTCTTGGGTCGTCACTTTGAGGCTTACACAAATAATTAGACCTTGCAGTGGATCAAAACGCAAACTGATCTCTCTCTGACACTGACCCGGTGGATGCATGACATTGATGTTTACAATTTTGAACTGAAACACAAGAAAGGTTGTTATAATCGTGTCGCTGATGCTTTGTCTCGTCATCCTGAGTTTTTGACTTGCCTCTTGAGCTCATATGACCTCCAAAGGAAACTGAAGTAGCATCGGGTCGAGCACACTGCCAAGGATCTGAAACTTAGTCCCATCCTCGAGCAGATCAAGGCCGGCCCTAGCAGCCAACCTGATTTTCACGAGTGCGAGGGTCTTGTATTCCGACGCTATGGGAAGTTCGATCGTTTGTGTGTACCCAACCATGCGCCTCTCCAAACTCATTTCTTGGATTTGACACATGGTCGGAGTGGGCTTTGAGAATACTTACAAAAATCTTTTGCAACAGTTTGATTAGCCGATAATGAAGGGATCCACTCAAAAGTTTATTGTTGAATGTCAAGTCTGCCAAAGAACCAAGGTCCATAGGCATAAGCCTTATGTCCTGTTGAAACCCCTCCCCATTCCTGATGGACCCGGTGAGTCGGTTTCTATCGATTTCACGGATATGGGAAAGGTGAGTGAGGGAGGACATTCACAAGTCATGGTCATCGTGGATCGTTTTTCTAAATTTATGAACTTAATTCCTTTACATCCTCATGCACCAATTGAGCTTGTGATTGAAGAATTTCACCAGCAGTACATTCTGCAGTATGGCCCCCCGAAAACTTTTGCGAGTGATCGGGACACCAGGTTCATTAGTACTAATTGGAAGGACTTCACCTCTCAAATCTACGACATTAAACTCAACATGACTTCTGGTCGACACCCTGAAGCCAATCGGTTGGCCGAGGAAATCAAACAGACTGTCATTCAACTGTTTCCCGCGTTAATTGTTCCCGATCAGAACACGTGGGACAAGGAGTTACACAAAGTGAACGGTTTGTATAACAACTCCATCCACTCCGCAACTGGCGTGACACCGAATCAACTGCAATACGGTTGGCAATTGCGCAATCCTCTCTCCTATTTGTTCCCCGATCAGTCACCTGGCCTGACACCTGGCATGCCTGGCTACAATGCCAAGTATGCACGCTTGCTCAAAGTTACTATCGCAGCGGTGAACAAGCGTCAGCATGCAATGGTCAAACATGCTAACAAGTCGTGCAAAGAAGGGAATTTCGAAGTAGGAAGTTATGTATGGATCAAGATGTCTAAATTTTTGAAGAAGAGGGAGTGTCACGAAAGCTTCTTCCATTGTACTATGGTCCTTGGCAGGTTCTTTAGGGGGTAGGAGATGACAAATTTGGTTCATCGTACGTGATCGTCGTACCACCTCATCCGCGTACATATCCGGTATTTCATGATCCAACTATTTCCCCACATGGATGATGAGACTTTTCCCTTCCAAGATCCTATGATTCCTTGTGCTATCAACGGTGGTCACGAAATAGACGTAATTGTTTACCAGGAAGGAAAAGGAAGGAATAGACAGTACAAAGTTCACTTCCTCTATCACCCGTTGAACGAGTTCTACTTGATCGATGAAAAAGGGCTGCTAAAGAGCGCTCCCCATGTTGTTAAAGCTTATGAACGACATATCGTTGATGGACAGACTGCTAAGTTTTCTGCAATACTTACTCCTTACGATTATACCGAAACTCTAAATCGTATAGCACTTAGTGTCCATCGTTTACAGCTAGGACTACTGGGGTATCTAATCCCATTCGCTCCCCTAGCTTTCGTCTCTCAGTGTCAGTATCGGCCCAGCAGAGTGCTTTCGCCTTGGGCGTTCTTTCCGATATCTACGCATTTCACCGCTCCACCGGAAAYTCCCTCTGCCTCTACCGGACTCCAGCTTAGTAGTTTCTGCTGCCTGTCTAGGGTTAAGCCCTAGTTTTTAACAGCAGACTGAAAAAGCCACCTACAAACGCTTTACGCCCAATCATTCTGGATAACGCTTGCATCCTCTGTCTTACCGCGGCTGCTGGCACAGAGTTAGCCGATGCTTATTCTTCAGATACCGTCATGATTTCGTCTCTGAAAAAAGGAGTTTACGACCCGTAGGCCTTCTACCTCCACACTATGCCTATGACGCATTTTGTACCGACTATGAATGAGTTACACGCTCGACGGGACCTCGCTCTTGAGAGGAGGGTAGTGTAAGGACCCGCCGAAACACAAACTGAGAACACTGCTGATTTCTGGGATTTGCTGCTGGAATGTATGCCTTGCTGAGATTCCCGTATTTTACTATAATTTCTAAGTATGTGTATGTGTGCCTGCTAGACTGCGTGCCTATCTGAGTGCTTGTCGGCTTGAGTGTGTGTGTGACCCGCAAGGGTACTTGTTGGTTTGGAGGCCCCGCAGGGCTGGTACTTACCCGTGGCCGTGACTTTGAGGGTTGCAGCGGGAAAAACGCTCAAGTAGCAGGTAGGCCGGTACTTACCCGTGGCCGTGACTTTGAGGGTTGCAGCGGTAAAAACGCTCAAGTCGCAGGTAGGTCGGTAAGACTCAAGTAGTGGTAGAAGTGTCGGGTACTCAATGACGAGGAGAAGAAGACAAAAAGTGGGCATTTTTAGAGGCCTAGTAGCGGCAGGCTAGAGGTAGGCCGGTACCAGTCCAAGTAGCCTGACTCTAGGGCCTGTACGGACGATATCAGGGCCTGCAATGATGCTTCCCTCCAAAAGGGAGGAGGTACCGGTTACTGGGAGGCCGTGTTGTCGAGCGCATCGACTCCCGCCTTTTTGCAAAAGGCGAGAGCCCTCCCGGCCATGTCACTCAGGAGTTAAACGAAACAAAACGAGAGACAACTTAGGGACAACACATAAATAATCATGCGGCCGCCAAGACGGACGCGGTCGCGTTGCCATCTCGCCTCTCTAGCCGGGTGCGCCAGCCGTACTTCCGGTGGTCCCCACGATAGGATAGGTTCCCACGGGGCACAACTTACCTTCCCTAAGGGGCTATCAACACCCTTCGGGGCGTATCCGTACCGAGCTACTGACCCATGTGAGAAAGTTTTTATATGCAATCGCAGAGGTAGGTCAACCGAGGGCGTTTGCTCGTTCGCTGCAGTACAGGAACGCTTGGTTAAACGCCAAGTGTACCCGAGGTTGTCCATTCCTTAGGGCGCTGATCTCCTAGGTACGAAACGAACCTCGGTCGACTAGGTCGGCCTCAACCAAGCGTGAAACCCAAAATTAATCCTAGTGCATTAGACACACATCTTAAAGAAAAATGAGATTACCGTATATAATTGCAGTAGACGGGTCGATCGTAGTCAATAGGAATATCCATCCGAATTCAATATGAGTTGAAACAATAACTGAACGCACGGACATTAGATGATAAAGCCAATAACACAAAATAAAAACCAAACACCTCGGGTCGAACTCAATAAGTAAAGTACTATACTGAACCGGTAAAGAGGAATTGGCTCCGACAATAACCTCGATGCAGCCGACAAGGTAGTCGGTCTGCCTCAATTTTGACTTTGATGAGACGCGTTGCCAAAGTCATCCATTCCAGTGATTCCACCTTACCGCCGACCTAAGATTAGGCACGCAAACCTGTCTTCATACATTTCTAATCTTCTTGGATGACAAGCTGCTTTGCGGATGATTCTTGATCAGGTGCATTACTTGAAGTGTTGCTTGTCCCACCCTTTAGGAAGTGGTCTGGGGTACTCCTCCTCGCCCGAGCACAAGACTCGGATCTCAGGAGCCGGGCCGTCTCAACCGAATCGGCAGAGTACCCCCCTGTAGAACGGTCCACTCCGGGTCGATAACAAGGCCGGCACCTAAAGCAACGAGCCCCCGCCCCATATGCTTCCCAACGAAAGAACGTACCCACCTTGAGCAGATTTTAGTTGCTCTCATTTTCCCTAAGCTCAAGGTAACTTAGACAAAGAGAGTCAAAGGGGATAGAGAATGAGAACCATTTGGACATGTAGATGAGGTCGTTCGGGATACAAAGGATCAACCTCGGGAAAAGGGTAAATTTAATTAACTTCGTCTTCATATTATTGACGATTTTTTTCCACCGTACCCGTTGAAATCAAAATACAAGTACTTTTGACATGCAAGCAGATGAAAGGTAAAAAGAGGACGATCCTTTTTCTTCATCTCAAATAGGCAATCAATCTTCTTTGCAAGCACCCTTCAACCTACCTGCACACCAAATTGAAGCAAACAAGTTGAGAAAAACCAACAAAAAATCCCATACCCAAGGCAGACCTCATCGTTCACATGCAAACACACATTTTCTTTACCTTTTCAACGAACATTCAATAAATAGGGTCAAGCAAGTGTGGGTTCACACCATGGCTACGATCCGGACCCCCGGAAAGGGATCCAGACTCTCTGGGATCCAGGATCCGGTACCACTTTCCGGTTACCGGTCCGGATGGAGGGCCCCCAGGCCAACGGCCAAATTTTGTTTGGGCGGCCCAGGGCGTTTTTTCACGACCTGGGCCGTCAAAAAAAAATTGGCCCATATTTTTTTGGGCCTTTGGCCACCGTCCGGAACGGGCAAAAAATGTATTGGTTTGTTTTGTTTTGTTTTCTGTAATCGTAGTGGGGCAGTTCGCGGCCGCCACTTTTCGAAGGCAGCAGTTCTTCCCCCCGCCATTTTTCGAAGGCATCTCCCCGTAGTGGTGACGTGCACGTGGGGCAGTAGCGAGCAGCTACGCGGTGACCAGCGCGTGGAGCGGCACGTGCAACAGGGTGAAGCAGCGCGCATGACTCTCTCTCTCTCTCTCTCTCTCTCTCTCTCTCTCTCTCTCTCTCTCTCTCTC